GCCCAGAAAAAATACCCCAAAATGCTGCCACAAGACTGTCAGTTATCCAAAAACCCATTAGTAGTGGTGTCTATTAGAACAGACAGCTAAACCAAGCATCACCTGTTATAGTTCTTATCTTCCTCTTCAGACATGCTATTTTTAAGGAATTCTTTTAAGGTACAGGTATTTTCCAGCCACTTGATGAGGCCCAGTCTGGAACAAAGTAAGTGAGAGATGTGAACAAGTAGCTCAGAGCTGAACTTTAGAGGAACACTGCAAATAGGAAGCAACATGTTGTAGTGCCTGCTAAAAGCAGGTTAAAAGCTACCAGTTTAAATAGACTCTGACAGTGTCCAGACAAAGCAACTTCAGTGTTGTTTAAAAGGAAAAGAATAATTAAGCCAAAACACAAAACACTCTGAACCTGAATCCTGCACACAAAAATCTCACTTTCCAACATGCCAACAGTAACATGTGTTAACATAAGGATTTGTGTCTCTCCAAGATTAACACCTACCTTGTTGTCATGGGGATGACCTGATAAGTTTTTAACTGCATATTTTTTTGGCTACATGTAGCATCTTGGGAAAGGATAATGTTCATTACATCAAACAGCTGCTCAATACGTTGGTCTTGTCGCAGGTCTTCACCACCTTTGACAAGAAAAGGATAGTCCTGCTCATCGCTGCCTCGGATTGTTATGCGTTTTGGCCTCCTCAAGGATTGCATTACACTTATCTTGGAAAAAGACAGGAAAAAGCAAAGTATTTGTGATAGAAGACTTGGCTTTACAGGAGCATCACTGAAATTAAGCATATCTATCATTCCTCGACGACACAATCAAGTTGCTAGATTACCACTAGGAAACCAGATGCCACTTGCAGAGCTTCCTTTATGTGCTATAAAATGTGTATACAAGCAATTACCTTGCTGTTGTCAAATTCTTCAGATGGAACATTGACACAGATTTATACCACACAGGATTTTGACTTGATATTAAAAACATACCCGTTCATCAAATCCAGAGATTTTTGCATGGTACTCTGGCAGTGGTTTCCCTTTTCCATCGTACTGACCTGAAGTGGTAGTGGAAAAAGACTCATATGAGAAAGAAATTGCAGAGACTGATTTTATTTTAAAGTGTTGTTTAAGAACAGAACACTTAAGTATTTTGTCAAATTGGCAGAATGGTAACTATGAAGAAAATGTTTTAAAATGCACAAAAAATCCAACATACACACAGTGTGATTTTATCTGTGAACTAATAAGAGTCTTTTCTTGTTAAGCTGTTAGTATTGTAGCTCTTCATTGTTTCAGAGAACACAACCTTTTCTGAATTAGACTTAAACATCTTAGATTTATACACCAGATTTCCTGAAGTCAAGCCTTTAGAAAAATCCCAAGTTCTTAGGTAAGAGATATGATTTTAAATTTAAAAAATCAGGTCTATAGCATAAGAACAGATTTAAGAGACAATGAATGAACAGAAGTTATTTCAGATATGGCCAGAGAGAAGGGCCATATAGCCAGCACAAGTAGAGCTCCAGAGTAGCAACTTTCTTGTAAGGGTCAGTTCACCATCGACACTGAAGGGGAGCTTACCAGGAACCTCTAGTTCGTTTCTCAAGAACTCAGCTTTGAATTCACTCATCCATGGTGAACATTCTTTCAGGTTTCCAGGTTCTTTATGATTTTTTCTCATTTCTGAGAGGAGAGAATTCGCAATTGCATCGAAGTCACTAGCCTTCATATCCAACAGTTCTGAGCCGCCTCTTCCAAAGTGATGGTCGAATTCCTTCCCAAAAGCCTAAGTATCATAGAATCATAGAATCACAGAATCACAGAATTTTAGGGGTTGGAATGGACCTGACAGATCATCTAGTCCCAACCCTCCTGCCATGGGCAGGGACACCTGCCCACTAGAGCAGGGCACTCAAGGCCTCATCCAGCCTGTCTTTGAACACTGTCAGGGTTGGGGCATCCACTGCCTCCCTTGGCAACCTGTGCCAGTGTCTCACCAAACATTTATAGAAAGTAATCCTGTTTACACAGTGCACCAAAATGGTACCTTCCTATCTACACACACAGCTTCATTTGGGCTCCTAGAATAGTCCTTCCATTCCAGTTCTTTTTCCCTCCATTATGTCTAGTCTGACAGAACCTTTTCACTGCTTGTTTGGTAGACCCACCAGATATCATTTACCAGCTCAGTAATATAATGTCAAAACCAGAAGCCTATCCTTCTTTACCTCTGCAGCTGGATTCTGGGTGACTGGATCAATAATACTGCTCATTAAACTTAATACACGTACCTCAACTGCTTACAAAAAATCAGGATCAAATAGTGAAACATTTATATAAAATACCTAAAGGGGAACTACAAGAGAGCTGGAGATGGCTTTTGACAAGGGCATGTAGTGACAGGACAAGGGGCAATGACTTTAAACTGACAGAGGGTAGATTTAGATTAGATATCAGGAAAAAATTCTTCACTGTAAGGGTGGTGAGACACTAGAACAAGCTGTCCAGAGAAGCTGTGGATGTCCCATCCCTGGAAGTGTTCAAAGCCGGATTGGATGGGGCTCTGAACAATCCGATCTAGTGGGAGGTGTCCCTGCCCATGGCAGGGGCTTGAGACTAGATGACCTTCAAGGTCCCTTCTTACTTTAACCATTCTACAGTTCTATTAAATGTTTTGTTACTATAAAATTCATTATTCATGATTGGCTTTGTAGTAATTTTGGACATAAAGTGTATAAAATGTAAAAAAATGTATAAAACCAAGGCTAGGGATATTAAGGATAACAGGAAGGGCTTCTATAGATACGCTGCAAGCAAAAGAAAGGCTAAGGATAATGTGGGCCCTCTCCAGAAGGTTCTCAACAACTTCTGCGCCATGGCATCCAAAGAGATTCATTCACAAGTCCTGAGGGAGCTGCAGACAAAGTTGCCAAGCCACTTTCCATCATTTCTGAAAAACTCTGGCTGGCAGGTGAAGTTCCCTGATGACTAGAAAAAGGGAAATATTACCCCGATTTTCACAAAGGGGAAAGTGGAACACCTGGGGAACTACAGACCAGTCAGTCTCACTTCTGTGCCAGGCAACATCCCAGAGAATTCTCCTGGAAACTATGCTAAGGCACATGACAAGCAAAGAGGTGACTGGTAATGGCCAACATGGCTTCACAAGGGCAAATCGTGCCTGAAAATTTGATGACCTTTTCTGACATGGCTACAACACTGGTCGATAGGGACAGAGCAACTGACATGGTCCACCTGCACTTATGCAAAGCGTTTGACACTGTCCTGCATAACATCATTGTCTCTAAATTGGAGAGACATCAATTTGATGGATGGACCACTTGGTGTATAAAGAATCGGCTGGATCATAGAATCATAGAATCAATTGGGTTGGAAGAGACCTCAAGGACCATTGAGCCCAACCCTACCGTCATTACTAGACCATGGCAGGAAGTGCCACATCCAGTCTCGTCTTGAAAACCTCCAGGGATGGTGAATCCACCACCTCCCTGCGCAGCTCATTCCAATGTCTGAGTACTCTCTCGGTAAAATACCTCTTCCCAATATCCAACCTAAACCTCCCCTGGCAGAGTCTGTGCCCTCTTGTCCTACTACTGGTTGCCTGGGAGAAGAGACCAACCCCGCCCTACCGTGGTTACTAGACCATGGCACTAAGTGCCACATCCAGTCTCAGCTTGAAAACCTCCAGGGATGGGGAATCCACCACCTCCCCGGGCAGCACATTCCAATGTCTGATAACTCTCTCCATAAAGAATCTCTTCCTAATATCCAACCCAAACCTCCCCTGGCAGAGTCTGTGCCCTCTTGTCCTACTACTGGTTGCCTGGGAGAAGAGACCAACCCCCACCTGACTACAGCCTCCTGTCAGGTACTTGTAGGGGGCGATAAGGTCTCCCCTGGGCCTCTTCTCC